CGCTTGGGCCATATGCAGTACGGCGCCACGGAACATCGACAAGTCCCGTATAGACAGGGAAGCATTTCAGATATCTGCAATGCGAACGGCGTTTTATGCTACAAATTGGTAACCGGCGGTTCTAGACTAATTCGACCCCGCTGAACACGAATCGCCCGGTTACCAAGCTCGATTTTTTCATTTAAGCCCTTAAATCCAAGATGGCGGCCAAAATGGCGCCCAAAATGCCCGATTCGCAGTTCTAACGCGCTGTGAAGCCCACACTCACGAGTTGTTGGTTGGTTTTCAGTTAGATTACCATTCAAGTAACGCGATGGGTGATTTTAGAGCCATGGGCATGAGTGTTAGGGGTCTAAATGTGAAGATGGCGCCCGAAAACGTCAAAAATCGCTTAAAACGTCACATTTTGACCGTTTTTGCGATAATTTGCTGATTCTGTGATTGTCTTAGGTCTTCCTTCGACTAGATAAACCAGATTGTAAGTTTGCATGACCTGTTGTCACATAAGCTAGAGGCCAACAGGCCAAGATAGCGTCCGAAAACGTCAAAAATCGCCCTTTAAAAAATCACATTTTGACCATTTTTGCGATAATTTGCTGATTCTGTGATTGTCTAAGGTCTTCCTTCGACTAGATAAACCAGATTGTAAGTTTGCATGACCTGTTGTCACATAAGCTAGGGGCCTAGAGGCCAAGATGGCGTCCGGAAACCTCCAAAATCGCTCCAAAGTACACTTTTCCTATTTTTGTCTATTCACCACGTTCTGTATCTCCCGTATCACCTCGATCCTAAAGCCTGAATGGATCAGGGTGCCATAAGGCGTATATGGAATGTCAAAACCAAATCAAATCGTAAAAACAAATGAATGTTCTATTTTTTAATGTTTTAGAAAAATAAGGTTTGAAATGAGTAATTTGTTACTGCAGCAACACTGGAGTAATAGTTTTATTACCTGAAATCGACAGTGACCCAAACGGCGACGTGTGATGATCCTCTTTTAAATTTCTTACTCCACTCTTAATGTCTTACGATGAAATTTGACCTATGTTATTTGTGTGATACAGTGTACGAAGCGATATTCCTTCGTAATACGAATCTTCTTAGCTTTTTCGTTGTAAGGTACGAAGAAAAACTTTCGTAATATGAAGAAAAACCACTCTGCAAACTCCACAGTGTGCTCAGTACACTCTGTTCGGCGTGTACTCACAAGTACACTCGTACAAGAGTGTACTCAGATGAGTACACTCTGACGAGAGTGTGCTCAGATGAGTACACTCCAACGAGAGTGTGCCTAGATGAGTACACGCCAACGAGAGTGTGCTCAGATCCATTCCACATAAGGACATGGTCTTAGTTCACTAAAACAGAATTGAATTGCCCAAGCTACCCATTCAACCTCAATTCAGACGCAAGGCCCGAATGACCTGAAATGACCGCCTATGCACGGAATCACCTCACCAACATAATTCCATCAGATTCACGGAAAATAAGGCACCAAATCCGCAGAAAGCGCAAGTTTTGACTCTTTCGCACGCCATCTTTGACTGTGGACCCTCAGTTCACGTGACAGCAGGTCATGCAAACTTACAATCTGGTTTATCTAGTCGAAGGCAGACCTTAGACAATCACAGAATCAGCAAATTATCGCAAAGATGGTCAAAATGTGACGTTTTAAGCGATTTTTGACGTTTTCGGACGCCATCTTCGCATTTAGGCCCCTAACACTCATGCCCATGGCTCTAAAATCACCCATCGCGTTACTTGAATGGTAATCTAACTGAAAACCAACCAACAACTCGTGAGTGTGGGCTTCACAGCGCGTTAGAACTGCGAATCGGGCATTTTGGGCGCCATTTTGGCCGCCATCTTGGATTTAAGGACTTAAATGAAAAAATCGAGCTTGGTAACCGGGCGATTCGTGTTCAGCGGGGTCGAATTAGTTTGAAACCGCCGGTTACCAATTTGTAGCGCGAAACGCCGCTCGCTTCGATTTAGAGAGCCTTTTTCAGAAATGCTTCCCTGTCTAGTAGTCTCGGGGTAAGCGTCCGCGCTACGAAGCTACAGGACCGGGGTTCGATTCCACCCACGCGCATCAGCCCTTTCGGGCATGATCAATGAGAAGAGGAAGATGAGGAGGAAGAGGCGCATCTGGATGCGTGCCTTGCAATGGACGTGCAAGGGCTGCCTTGCTGTAGTGCAAGCTGGATCGCAAGATGTCCCTTGCATTTTCTTGCGTGAGTGTGAGGGCTGCCTTGCAATTTTGCAAAGCAGACCGCAAAGCAGGCTTGCACCGGGGCAAACACGTCCATGCACGAAAGGGAAACAAACACCTTCCTCAAATTCAAACAACGCAAGGCACCACGTGCTTTTCCGCAAAGCGGCACGCATCATCAAAATTGCATTTGTTCGAGGTGCATGGACAGAATTGCCGATGGCTCGCAAGCGACTCAATTCATAAATGTAGCAGCTTGTCACTTGCAGAAACGCAACACTCAGGTTAACAGTGTAGGTTTGGCAGGCCCGCATTCCGATGTTATGAAGTTCGCTTAGCGGTAGTGGTAGCGCACGCGTTCATCAGCCCGTATGCACGGGTTCTATCCACACTAGCATTTTACTTTTTTTAACCCAATTTGTAACGTAACTTGTCAGCTTCTAATTCCGATCTCCTTCCTCTGCAGAATAATTGCAGTAAGATGAAAGAATATTTGAATATAATCAAAATGTATGTCCATTTAAATGCGGTGTAAGCGCAGAGAGGGGATTAGTCTTGTGGTAGTTTGGAGCGAACCTGAGGTTAAGTTATATCTTTGGCAGACGTGAACGTTCGCCCGATAGGTTAGAACCAGCTAATGATATGTTTCAGAGTAAAAATTGGTATCACTATTCTAGCACTGACTGGAGAGCAACAAGATGTTGAGAGAGAGCTCTGAAAGAAAATGACGGAAACCACTGTAGAGAACACCTGAAGTTGAAATGATAAAGTATGCCTGTCAAGGATACTGAAAGTGATGTTCTCTGTTTTTGCATCCAACTACTAAGATAAAACTGCTGCTTTATTTGGAGTTATTAAAGAATTATTGTCATATGAGATTCTCACTGCATTGTCAAGAAATCTGTGACAAGTCTGAGTTAACGTGTCGTTTATGCCAACGCCTTCCAAAGTGATGTGAGTATAATTACAAAGACAAAAGGAATGAGTACAATTTTAGTGTTTAATAAACCAACTTTAGTTGAAAAAGTCACTGTTATTTAATGTTTTATATTCATAAGTAGAAAATGTCCTTCAAAAAGGGGCCCAGAGTCATTGTGTATTAGCGGCTTGCCTTTGGTTTCACAGGCAATATAATTTAACTAAAAAAATTAACACATAAAGTTTTTATAAATTAACATGCATTATCGAGTATAATTCAGAGTTTGTTTAGGAATATAAATGAAACAAACCAGTAAAAGATTTGTGCTGCAGGATAATTTGTATTGTGTATTTTACATGGGAGGGACATTTTAACTGCGACTGACTGCGGACTCCTTTCTGAGGAGGTACTATATTGATGTCACTCTCATCTATGTCCAAAATAAACAAAAAAAATTTCTATGAATAGTTGAAATTAAGAAAGCTAAAAGATGCTGCACTAGTTTTGACTTAACCTCGAAATGAGAGGAAAGTCTCACCTGAGAGTAGTCTAAACACAACAACATGGTCCCTACTGATAAATTACTGGAACAAGATAAATACTTTCTCGCTGAATATTTTTTTACTATAGAGAAAACGAGAAGGTAAAGTGATTTGTGCCAAACCCGAATATAAACACATCTGGCATTGTTCTGCTGGTAACACGACGGTTCACACAAATTTTTTCACACATTGAAGTTTCGCCTAATGTAATTTCGCATAGACAGTTTCACACAAATTTTTCACACAAATTTCTTTTTACCTACAATGCCAGTTTACACACATTTATTTCGAAGGGTTTCAAGGGGCACGAGGCCACTAGCCACCAACGCCACAAGCCATCAAGGCTACTACTAAGACAACTTATTCGATTCGAAACGTCAGGGGTGATTCGATTCGGGGACGGATATCTTTGCTTTGACCCGGAATATTCGGAATTTCGAAACGTAGACGTTGGTTCCTCTTCGAATCGGTTGCTCGGGACCGGTTGAAAGACGCACGCACAGCGCTTAGCGTTGTTTTTATATTGAAGCAAGATCAGATTTTTTAAAAATCCTGCTCTATGTTCTTTCTTAATACAGAAAATGTGTTTTGAAACACACCATTTTTGGGATTTTTTTTCTTTGTTTCAGTTCGAGTTCGATTCGATTCTTAATCTTTAAACTTCGGATCGATTTAATAAGACAACTTATTCGATTCGAAACTTCTTTTTTAGATTCAATTCTAATTTGATTCGAAATGAAAATCCTTGATTCGCACATCCTTACCGTCTTCCCTGTAGTCTTCGTACTCTAGGGCCGCCATCTGGAGAGTCAATTGGCAAGGAACTGCTAATAAATAGGTTCACACAAAAATTGTGTGAACAATGTGTAAACAATGTGTAAACCGTTGTAAATGTGAAATGGTACTTTGTGTGAAAAAATTTGTGTGAAACCGTCTATGTGAAATAACATTAGGCAAAACTTCAGTATGTGAAAAAGTTTGTGTGAACCGTCGTAGAACCTTTCTGCTGGGTGTTTACCAACACTCCCATACTAAAAGTACCTGTCATCCACAGATGTTTTCACATTTCAAGGTTGGAAGTGTTTCTGTCCACTCGTGTTTGGGTTTGTACATGGTTTGTACTTAGTTTTTATATATGCGTTTTAATGAAGAGTTGTTCTTCAGTAATGACACCAAATGATATCATCTGATGAAAAATAAGAAATGATTTTGCCTTTCAAAAAGTAGCTCAGGGGGAGGTAAGTCTGTAAAAACAGACAGTTTACCAGTCTTTAAGGTTAAGGTTAGAATAGAACATAGACTGAGAACAACATGATAAAGTTTATTTTGCCCACAACCCAAAACTTGCCTTTTAACAAGAGTGATTAACCTTAAACCATGATCAGACTTTCATTGCGTTTTGAATCTGGAATAAAATATAAACCATGATTGAGACGTTAAAGTCACACACTCTCATGATCCTTTTCTCATTGCAGTCATAATTTGATGGCAGCGACTCACCTTGCCTGTTCCCTTTGAGCTGCTGCGGCCCTTCTTGAAGGGAGATCCCTTAGACACCGAGGTCTCGTCGGTTCACCAGCTGCTTTCGAAGCAACAGCAGCTTGTTCTGCAGCAGCTTTAGCAGCTGTTAGAAACGGAAGGTTAGTCTCAAGTGTTAGTACTACTCATTTTCTGGAAACAATGTTATTTCTTTTTACCTGCTGCCTTCCCTTGTTCAATCCGCTTCGCTTTTCTCAGCTCCATCTTTTTGGCACGCTTCTTTTTTTTTAGTTTTGTTTTTCTATTTTGCGTTGGTGGTTTCTTTCGACACTGTGAATTAACATCTTTCTGTGATTCTTCCTCTCCTTTGGTATGACTTATACTTGCCACTCCTTCCATTGTTGTACTTCCGTTCATTCCAGCAGTTTGTCCTGAAATGCAGACGACTTTAGTTTTCAACATGATACGCTCTGTAAAGCTTCCAAACATTTTAAATCCCTTCAAACAAGGAGTCTCCATGCTTTAAATTTTAAGTATGATTCATTTTTGCAGAGCTGTTGCAGTCAATTCGTTCTCTCATCAATCGCTATCCGTACTATCCGGCCAAGATTATTTAATGGCTCGAATAATCAAAGAATTTTCATGGCTTCAATTCACAGATGGGATGAGGAGGGAGGCGGGGAGTCTTCACAATTCACAGTTCCCTGCCTCACCCCTCACTACTGTGAAGTTCCTTAACTTGATATAGCCCATGTCAACTGTGAGCAATTTTGTTGTCAAATGTCACTCAATTATCTAAACAATTCATACCAACCCTTTTACTATATTCTTTACAAGTGACAGAACCTGGCAGCAACCTACCAGTTTAAAGTTTTCATACCAGAGTGCAAATTTCTCATACCCGTTTGCCGGCGGGGCGAGTGTTTACAAGCGGGCCTTGGACGAGACTAGACCTGATTGCCTGTTGATTGCTGTTGGTAGAAATATTTGCAGAGAATGTGCCTAATTTAACTTTGTACTGCGTACTACGTTCAAAATTTGACGACTCTTGTAAGATTTATTTGCATTCTGCATCTACATTTATTACGGAGTGTATATTTGCACGACTGGTGCAAATAAGGATTACGAATGTATTTGCACGACTCGTGTAAAGAAGTGTAAAAACGCTATTTGCACGACTGCGTTTCTATAACATCTCTTCTATATAATATATATTAATAATATAAGGACTCGTGCAATTAACTTTCCCACTATTGTTTGCACGACTGTTCCAGTGTTGCCAGATTTCCACCAGTCCGGCCGCCCGTCGGTCGGGCGCGTGGAGGGGGTCGAGGTTTACGTTCAAATAGCGAGTGCAGAATTATTTGCCCAGTTGACTTCGTGCAAAACTAAAAACGATAGATATCTGCACGAACTTTTAGCCGAGGGTGCCGAATTTCCGGGCCCGACTGCCGGTCGTACAAATAACTCATGCACGATTGTTTGCACGCTAATTTTCGTGCAAACAAGCAAATAATTGATATCTGCACGAAGTGTCGACAGAGGCTCCTTATATCGCTGATGTTTGAAAGAAATCATTGAGAGAACACATGACATAAAATAGATGAAAGACAATGCTACAGGGGTGCCCTCTTTTCCACAACATGACCTGTCTTCTCCAATATTAATAGTCCGAAACAGTTTAAAGGTTGGTGCCCCTGGAAGCAGAACACATCTGTTCAAATTTATGTTTACGTCTTTGATTACGTGTGTTGAAGGAAGAACTTGATAATTGCACGAGCCCAAACCCGAATGAGTCATTCGCTTGTCTTGCGCTATTCTCGCCTTCTGAGCGCGGCTGTGTGGTGCCGGAAGCTTACACAAAAATTTGTTCACCAGCTTCCAGTTTAAAGATGCAGGTGAGGAGGGATATGTCATCCCATCTGTGCTAGCTAGGGGTAGAGCCATGAATTCTGCAATGAAGTGCCCTTTTTTTCGCTAATTTGTAGTCTATGGGTTCATTCTTGTGACCTAACCTTTCATTTTCATGTTCAATGTGTCCAATTTTGTCCATTAGGAAACTTGGAGACCTTGTCCTGGACAGAGCTTCAAGACATTCGCTGAGTTCCAAGAGTTGTTTGAGGATTTCCAGGAGAGGTCACATTCTGTTTGGGTGAGAAACTCATCGCAGACTGTGGCCCAGGCAAATGAGTACTTGGAAAAGAAGAACGCAGAATTGATTGACGCAGCATTGGTGTACAAGAATATCATGTTTACATGCAAATTTGGTGGCAAGCAGAGGGGAAGAATTGGTTTCACTGATGACCAGAGGTATTCTTACTTTTGTTTTATCATGTCTTAGATTGCAGTAGAACACATTATAACAAGGGCTATTTCTTTCAGGGCTCAGAAAGTGCGATGTCATGCTGAAATTTTGTTAGCGTACAACCATGTATCCAAAGCACTTGTAATCCGCTCAGTTAACTTGGACCACAACCATCACCTATAATGTGCATCTTGGTGCTGATACGATTTCAAATGTCATGTTCTATGCCATGCCATTAGTTCAAGGACCAATATTCTTTTTTTCTCCTTCTTGCCTGTAAGGACATCTGTGTCAGAAATCCACTTCTGTCATTTTATGAGTAGGTGTTTTGTTTGAAAATGCGGGGCAAGTTTTCAGAATAAAGTATAATGCTTACTTTAAAGGTATTTGCGTTCTTCACCAAAACAAACAAAGAAAACAGTTATCAAAATGCAAAATGACATAAAAAGATTTCACAATCTCTTACAGTACTAACATAAAAGTGACAAAGTTATTAGGCACATACTTATGTCTAAGTAAGATATTGCTTCATAAATTGTCTGATGGCACAAAATTCACTGACTAAAGAGCTCATATAAATGTAACTAACAGGTCCATAAAACAAAGAAACAATTGAACAATTTTAAAAATTCACATAATTCTTAAAAACTGACTAACAGGTCCATAACACCTAGAAACAATTTTAAAAATTCACAAAATTCTTAAAAACTATCTTGAAGAACTCAAACAGGTTCATGAAACATAGAAACAATTTTAAAAACTCAAATAATTCTTTAAAAAAATTCAACTGACATCAAGGACTTGAACAGGTCCATAAAACCTACAAACCATTGAACAAATTTAAAAGTTCAAATTATTCTTTAAATAAGCAATGAATGACTCTTCACGACTTCATATGGCACTTATCACAAATCCAGTTATCAGGGGTATTGCACTCATCAGAAAGGCCAACACATTTATTGTGATACCATACATTACAGGAGTCACATTCTATCATGTTTCCATATGCCTCTGGAAGTCGGCAGATACAAACAACATGAAGAATATTAGTATTAACTTCATTCTTACTTTTCTTGGGCCTGGAGCTAAGACGGGGGAATACTGAAATTTTTCCATTTTCAAAGCACTGGAGCAAGTGACTTCTCATCTGTGTGGTGTCGAAGTCTATGAAGGTCACTTTACCAGTAGCACAATATTCCACAGCGTTGGCAATTGCAAACAATCCGCAGTCAGTGGAATTTGTTTGCTGCTTGCAAGGTGGCCTTACTATCACAATTCGATCTTCTTTTGAATGAGCAATCATTGCTATTTGGAAAAAAGAGTGGCCAGATAAAGAAAGAGAATTCATACTGTCGTAGATAGTAACTGAAGAGGAACCTGTCAATTAAAATCAATAATATTTGTAATGCTTGTTACTTGCTTAATGAAACAAAACTTCCAGCACCACACCGTACCTTTCTTGAATAAAACTGTCATCCAATGTTCTCTGCCAGTGTTAATGATTTGCACATAATCCTTGTCTTGTTTACGAGGATAAAAATTTATTGAATCCACCTTTTGACCGTAAGTTACTGCGAGAGGGGCGCACAAGCCATCTATTTTATCCCCATACTCATTTTTTAACAAGGTAGAAGCAATAGAAATTTGTTGGTCCGTCAGCATTACATCACTAGAGAGAATGTCAAAGGTGCTTCTGGTAAAACCTTTTTCTGCAGAAGAAAAACAAAAATTAATTTAATTTCTCAGATGACTTGTACTTCTCCTGTTATGTACACTTACCTAATGAAAAGGAACACAAGCCACAAATGGATTTTGTATCACCTCCCTTTTCTGGTGCTACAATTTTCTTTTCACATTTTTCCATGTGGACAGTTCTTTCACATCGGTAGCACTGCTCAGCCTCTGCATCCAGAACACTTTCCCCACATACACAGCAAGTGCAGACGTGGTCCCTTTCCTTAGCCTGCTTACACTTTTGACAATAACATCCTCTGCAGATTCGTGGAGATGGTTCATTTAAAATAATGGAACATTCGTCCACATGTACAACACCTTTGCAAATTTTGCAAAGGGTTCCATTGCCAACAGCAATCAGATTACATACAACGCAACTTATTGTCTCTGCAAGAAGAATGTTTCTTTCTATTAACATGCTGGTAGTAATGACCTGGATATCCAGTTACACATTTAGTTTACTTACTGGTGCCCTTGCTGGGTTTAGGTAATTTTGCATCTAAACAAAAAAGAGATAGCATAAAAGAAAGTAAGAAAATCATAATATAATGAATGTAGGAATTGCGTTGCCCAACTCACCAGTATTTGTGGGTGGAAATAACAACGGTCTCTTTCTTGCCTTTCCTCTCATGGCTTCGGCTTCATTTCCAGATTCTGTTGGGGGTGTGACGTGGGGCCCAATCGGTGGAGCTTTATCTTTGTAAATGAAATTTTCATTGTTAAAACAAATGTGTAATTAGAAATAATTATGCAGGTTACAAATGTAGTTCTTACCAACACATGATCTATATATTACAAAATAAAGGTCTCTGGTTTCCATGCACCAAGAAATATTGAAACAACCAACTTACCATTGTAGCCCAACGGCTGACATATCCCAAAAATCTAAGAAATGTATAAGATCCCCCAACAGGTGTGGTGGAAAATGTTTTGTTTCAATTAATACAAAACATTTTTCACCACATCTGAATGAGCACATAAACAGGCGAAACTGGAATCAAACAAAATACAGCAGTGTTCCAATGACAAAGATTAGGGTTCCCTTAACAAACAGCCAGTAAGCACAGAAAACAGGAAAATTTAGGCAAAGCAGATACTTGAAGAAACCAAACCATATTCAATCTAAATATGCAGAAGCAAAACTGTTGACTCTTTTCATGTAAGTGGGATCAGGTAGAGAGACAAATTGAATTTTAGTCTCTCCAGTAATCAAATTGCAATTTTACTTTCCTACACAGCCAAATTTTATCTTGGAATGATGGATATATAAAAGAAAACATGCCGCAAAAGCAGTTTCTACAAAAGAGCACCTACTTCATTTGTGCCCGATCACTGAACACTGGTTCCCAGGACATTAATTAATCAAGCATACAACATTACCTGTTTCCATTTGAAAACTATAAAATAATGAATCTGATTTTAAGCCTGAAATACATCAAAATTGGAGCATTGAATTGGAACAGTGTCATTAAAACAATCTACAGAGAGTTTGTGAATAAATAAACATTTCACCTTTCTCTTGTATGAACGCAACAATTTTATGCATGTGTTTACAAGGTATGCTCCTATGGGTATGGTCTGGACATGAACATGTCAGACAATGGACACAAATCTCCAGACCACATGAGCAATTTGTCTTCTGTTGAAGTATTTTGACCTGATGTAATTTGTTTTCTGAGGTCTGTGACTTCAAATTCCAACAATAATTACTGGCATCAGGGAAGATGTCCTCATCTGGAATTGCAAGACCACTAGCCTCTCTATCAGCAGAGACATTACCACTTACAGCTCCTTCTGCAAAGAATAGACGAAATGTATTCACAATCATGCGGCAAAAACTCAGATTGCAGACATAAAAACCTGATAGACAGGTCTTACTTGGTTTCCTTTGTCGATTTGGTACATTTTTCCCGGATACCTGATTTGTTTCTGAAAAACAAAAGAAAGAAATGATTTTAGTTTGTTAGAGTAACCACTACCCCCGCATGTACAGATAAAAGTGGGTAACTATGGCTCATTAAGAAACACATTCAATTAAGCTGCTTTCAAGTACAAGTACTTACTCTTCTTTTGGTAGACGCTGAGAACAGTTTTATCCACACCTCGGGGTCTTCCCCTTGCTTTCACTTGGGGCAGTTTTATTCCTTCCATTGACTTCCTGAGTAAGCTGGAGGCTGACGTTACGTCTAAAATAATATATAAAAATTAGAGACATTGTGTTTAAAGAAAACATGTCTGTAAGTTAATAAACTAACATGCCATGTTCATTACCAGTTCTATTTTCTGTTCTAAGTTCTTGTTGGATCCCTTTTTCATTGTTTGATCCTAAATTCTCTGTGACTTCTTTCCCAACATTTGAATCCAATCCGTCTTCGATTCCTGTTCCAACATGTGATTTTTCCTCTCCAACACCTTCAAGAATATCTGATTGTACTCTCTCTCCGACTTCTTTTCCAACATTTGAATCCAATCCGTCTTCGATTCCTGTTCCAACATGTGATTTTTCCTCTCCAACACCTTCAAGAATATCTGATTGTACTCTCTCTCCGACTTCTTTTCCAACATTTGAATCCAATCCGTCTTCGATTCCTGTTCCAACATGTGATTCTTCCTCTCCCACACCTTCAAGAATATCTGATTGTACTCTCTCTCCGACTTCTTCTCCAACATTTGAATCCAATCCGTCTTCGATTCCTGTTCCAACATGTGATTCTTCCTCTCCCACACCTTCAAGAATATCTGATTGTACTCTCTCTCCGACTTCTTCTCCAACATTTGAATCCAATTCGTCTTCGATTCCTGTTCCAACATGTGACTCTTTCTCTCTGACACTTTCAAGAACATCTGATTGTTCTCTCTCTCCGACTACTTTTCCAACATTTGATTCAAATCTCTTTTCGATTTCTGATCCAACATGCGATTCGCTCTCTCCTCCAGTTTCAAGAACATCTGATTCTAATCTCTCTTTTTCTGTTTCAACTTCTGATTCAAATGTTTCTTCTTTAATTACCGTCTCATCCATTGATTGAGGTATCTCATCATGTTCTATTTCATCATCTGAGGACAACGTTATTACCTCATCCCCTGTTTCTTCCTCTGCTTCAGAAGCCTCAATTGCAGCCACTAGGTCACTAAGATTCTGATCATTCTCATCATCCAAAAGGGAAGCTGTAAGAATTGGGAAATAAAGAAGACACAAGCATTCAATCAGAATTGTGAGAAATACAACAGCAAACATAGTCAACAATACTCACAGGGGATTGTTGTGTTTGTGTTTTCTGATGCCGAATAATCCAATTGTAGAACTTGGTCTGAAAAATAAGTATTACAAGTGAGACATATTTTGTGTCCGGGCATTACAATGAAATACTGAACAACCCTCACCTTCAGTCTGCTTAGGAGCATATCGTGTAAAGTTGCATTGAAACAGCGAGCATTTGTACATTGGCCTGTTTGGCCTTTTGCAAAGGGGTGATGTCATTATCCTACCCAAAAAAATATAAAGGTAATTAATCTCTAGCACAATGATATAGAGTGTTACTACAAATCCAGAAGAAAACGAACCTCCTTGCTGGCACTGCACAGAAACAGTGAGGTGCTGATGGTGCTGAAATAACAAAATTTAATTAATATTTTTTTAAAAGAAAATTTGAAGTAGGCGCTACAGGGCTAGAATATTCATGCTTTATGCACCTGGACTGCAGGAAGGCAGTTTTTGAGAAGCAGAAGGATGAGGCAGTGTTCTGTTTGTTGTCACACTTTGATTTCCATTTCTCCCTTGACACAAAAAGGAGGGGAAAAAATGAGAAACAAGACACAAAATTATAAATAGATGAGCACAGCAGAAATAGAGAATTTACCTTTGGAACATGCAATGCAAATGCGTTTTTGACCATGCCCTTCCTCAGATCCTGGACATAAAATTGAGCATCCAGGAAGTAGGTGCACATTTTTATTACAACGCGAACACTTGTGGGCACCCGTGGGAAAATTCTTCTGAGTGCAAGCAATACATGATGTATTTTGACCTAGGGAGAGTGACAAGTTAATTAGCAGCTTGTGGACACCATTGGAACGGAATCACCTATTTTTAGACTCTGCTTTACCTGCTGAATCCTGGTGAATTATATCAGTTGTTGGGACAGTCCGATTTTGAGGCAACGTCACAGATTCCTCATGCTGCAGCTGGGCTTCTGGATTGAAACAAAAAGTTTTTACACTGGAAATAATTCGAAAGTGAACAAGCAACACTGTTTCACACATTAAGATACCTGCGCGGTCAGTGGGTACACCTTGATTCAAAATTTCATTTTCTGGTGGTGCAGCAGTATGTAACATTACAGTCTCTTCAGGTTGATTTAGTGTATTTTCATGCACATGGACTTCGATTTCTGAAAGAAAAAAATAAATTTAAGAGCATACTTTGCATTCTGCAAGAAACTTTTCATATTTGATTGTTCTCAGTTATGCAAAATGTTTATATATATTCATATGCTTCCTGAGCATACAATAAAAGTACACCAACATCCGAAAAAAGAAAATTGGAACTCCAAACTTTTTCTGACAGTTTACACTTAAGTAGAGACAAAAAATTGTAGTCACATACCAGAAAAATTGGCAGCATCGATAATTTTAACTTGAGTGCCAGCACACCAAAATTTAAATAACTCTTTGAGCTGGTTGTACCGCTCCATGAACTGAACATCACCACATTCAGCCATGCTTGAGCATATCTGCTTCGACAGGCTCAGAGAGTATGAGTATTTCTCAGACTGTGTTTTTGGAATAAGTTTCGATGGCACAACATGGCATCCAATTTGTGGTCCAGAAATGGTACTGCTGCTGCGACATTCACCTGACTCTTTCCAAAACATTTTGTCAATTTCTTCTTTCATGTAAAGTGCTTTCCCTGAAAAAAAATATTAATAACAATCAATATCTCATGCTTTCCTATTTTTATTTCCGAAATGAACATAAAAAAGGAATATGTATTTAATTCACATAGATTACCAGATTTTCTTCTGCAGGCAAACATATGCCGACATGGCAATTGATCCTTGTAAGAACATGCGTGGATGCACTGACAATTTGTTTCCGTGGAACAAAACTTGGCTATCTCTGACTCTGCAGGTTCAGCATCTAGCTCCCAGATCACAATTTTTGCAGCATTTCTGGTAAGGTCCTGAACTATTGTGTTGGCAATGGGGTCTTTGCATTTTGTCATGTAAGCCTGCTTCATAGCTGCACTAGTTTTTCTAAACACAACATCCTCCTCCTTGTTAAGGTGGATCTGAATGATGCCATCAACAGCTTCATACAACTCACTACTGGAGTTTACGACCTGAAAGGAATATACATCATCTAAATTAAATCTTTGATAAACTTAATCCCAAAATATGAAAACCACAAAATTTCTTACATTTTTGATTTTGCCGTTCAGGTTTTCCAGTCTATTGTTTGTGGCATTTCCAGAATTCGCAACTACTTTGCGATCCCTGTAGGACCATGCTACTGGGCATGATAGCCAGTTCTTCACAAAATATGTCATGAATTTCTCTGTGGCCACTCGTCTTAATTCAGTCTCCAAGTCTTTGAATTCATCTTCTTGACTACAATATCTCATACTTGTCAGAATTTCTTTAACCCTGGGATCTTCTTGGTGTGTCTTGCCATTAAATGTGCGACTTACGTGAAAGTCGCACAGTTGTATCACAGCATTAGGGAACACAGCTGCCAAAGCTTTAATTTCAGTATAGTCCTTGTCCACTGTTATGGAAGAGATGCGTGAGGCAGCTTCATCTCCTATGGCTGATTTAAACACATCCATGACGGCTTTAACAGTGACTAGTTGTTCGTTTGCCACAAATGCATAGCCAACCGGTCTGCCCTCTAAATCGCCATCCATGGTCATGAGCACGGTCAATGGCATCTTATTTTTATTAACTTTGTAAGTGTGGTCAAGGAGGAGAACTCTGCCATACGTTCTCATTGTGTCCCTCATTGCTCCAGTTTGAATAAAAAGGAAAGTAAGGTCATTATCTGGTGATTTTCCAACATGGATGAATGCATTGGGGTCATTTGAGAGTAATGACTCCAACACCTCCACTAGTTTCTCCTCGGGTGACAGGCCGCCAAGCTGCTCTTTTTTCATTTTCTGACTGGAAAGAAAATAAACTTAAGGATACAAATTACCAATTGACAGGCACAGTGCTTAAGTTGGGCTCTTACCGGAAATTCTGCAGGTCTCTCTGCGTTATCTGGCCACAGCCCAGAGCCCTCAACAGAGGCCGAATTTTGCTGGGTTTCACCCCACCTTGAAAAAGTAGTTTCGCAGTGCTGGCTACATTGTCCTCCTTAAGAGCTTTGGCTCTCACTTTTGAGAGGCTAGCATAGATTGACAGACTCAATTCATGAGAATGTTCTGAAACAACTGCTTTAACCACTTTGAGAGACTTCTTAGAAGCAATAAGGTGGACAAACACAGGACAATCGGCCTTGATAGTTCTAGAAAAAAGATAAGAACACATTACTCTTCCGCCTCTTCTTTTCTTTCAATTTTTAAACAAAAGAAGAAACAACTTACGACTGCATAGGACGAGCCCCTGACCCAGAACCAATACGCTTCTTTCCACCAAAGACACATACAAGCTTTACATTTTTGTGCTTCAACTTAGGGTCGTACCAATCCTCCTGCGATATGCCTCTTCCTGCGAGCTTCTTATTTTCATTTTCGATGGAGTTGGACGAATCAACAGACCACACAAAAAGATTCTCTTCAGCATAACGGTCCAAGTACTTTTTGGCTTCATCCCAAGTATCAAAACTAAGACCGACATAAGGTGGGGCCGCACGTGGTGGGTTACTCGTAACCTCAACATCATTGTTAGCCATCCTTGAGTTAAAAAATGTAAATCACAGATTAGGCAGCGCAAAAACAATGCATGACACAACTACACTTTCAGGAGGTCGTCGTTACCTTAACACATTTACAGAACACGGTAACTGAGATGCTTGAAACGAATTTGGTGTAACTTTCCGGCACCATACAGCCGCGCTAAGAGGGCGAGAATAGCGCGAAACAAGCGAGCGACTCGTTCTAGATTTGACTCGTGCAATTATCGAATTCTTGCTTCACCACACCTTATCGAAGACGTAAACATAAATTTGAACAGATGTGTTCTGCTTCCAGGGGCACCAACCTTTAAACTGTTTCGGACTATTAATATCGGAGAAGACAGGTCATGTTGTGGAAAGGAGGGCACACATGTAGCATTGTCTTTCATCAATTTCACTTCATGTGTCCTCTCAATGGTTTCTTTCAAACGATTCGTTAGCTGATATATTGCTAGTTCTTTGGCTTCATTCGGATTTGCAGGATTTGCGGCGGTGGCTTGAGTGGGCGTCTCCCACTCGAAGTGGTATCGATACATTGCCAGCCCCACCGCCACGGCCCTACTATGCCGCTTAAGGCGCTAGTAGCGTTCCTTGCCAACTCAATATTTTTAATTCCTTGCCAAAAGGTCTCTTAGGCCTCTTGCGCCTTCTTTGTGAAATATGCGGATCAAATTTTTAAATGTACGGACCCATGGGTAAAAGAAGAACAAGAGGCGAGCGTCCTACTTCCGGACAGATAAAAACAAACTGGCGACGCGTTTGTTTTCTGCTGCTCGTGCAGATATCAATTATTTGCTTGTTTGCACAAAAATTAGCGTGCAAACAATCGTGCATAAGTTATTTGTACGACCGGCAGTCGGGCCCGGGAAATCGGCACCCTCGGCCAAAAGTTCGTGCAGATATCTATCGTTTTTTAGTTTGCACGAAAACGTCGGGCAAATAATTTTGCACTCGCTATTTGAACGTAAACCTCGACCCCCTCCACGCGCCCGACCGACGGGCGGCCGGACCGGTGGAAATCTGGCAACACTGGAGCAGTCGTGCAAACAAAAGTGGGAATGTAATGCACGAGCCTTATATTATTAATATATAATATATAAGAATAGTTATTTAAACGCAGTCGTGCAAATAGCGTTTTCACTCTTCTTTTCACGAGTCGTGCAAATAAATTTGTAATCCTTATTTGAACCAGTCGTGCAAATATACACTCCGAAATTTTTTGTCGACTGAGCAAAGCTGTGAAGTTGAGCGTAGAAGCCAACGACAACTGATCTCAATGTTATTTCCTTCCAAATGATAAAGAAACTACCCACTTAGCTTAAAAGTGTTCAACCGTTGAATCTGAAACCTTCTATGCACATTTTTATCTATGAACTTTGGAATACTATTTTGTCAATTTTGGCGATTTTTCACCAGGGTCCCCCCTAAGTTCTCAACTCCAAGATGTCCCATGCGACGGTGCCAGAGGATAAAATTATTGAGATCATTCTGCGTGTACAAGGCCATTTTATCATCGTTTCTCTTTTCACAGAGTAGTAAATTAACAGAATAAAGATCGGAGCTCCTAGCTCCCTTTAACAAAATCAAATCATTAGGAACTTAAATCTTTCCTTCACAAAATAAAACTTGTTCTTCCGTGAAGACGACGCTTACTCCCACTTCGGTGGCCTTGGGCACTGACAGCAGATTCTTCATCAATCCTGTAACACAATTCACTTCGGTTAGCAGGCATTCAGCACTATCAATATCACCGCTAAAAGAGACTTCAGAGAGGCTCCCTTTTTTGCGGTATAGATGTTACTTTTGTTATGTTTAATGTTAGTAAATAGATCAGGGTTAATGCACATGTGGCCAGTGGCCGCACTGTCTACAACAAAACTTACAGTGTCGGAGTCCTTGTCCTCTTTGTCTTTTAAAGACATCTTCTGAATGCCATGTGGCACTTCTTGGTTCTTCCTCGGATGTTTTCTTTCTTCCACTTGTACCAGGGTTCTCTTTCTTATTCTCATTCTTCTCCTTTGTCTCATTTCTTGTCTTTCGGAAGTAGCAATCTTCCTCTTTGTGGTTGCTCTTCTTGCAGATTCTACAAGTTTCACGGGTTGTCGGTCAAAGTTCCCAAACCTTTGTTCCCACTGGACAATTTTCCCAAAAATATTTTGCCCACTTTGGTGTTCCCAAACCTTGTACCAATATTTAATATCCCACGGATAAAATTTTCCCACGGACAAAATTTTTCCAATAACAAAATCTCCAGATACACTCCCGACAAAAATTAGCGGAACGCTTTTTGTCATCGTGATATTTTCTAAGTCTTTCGAGCTAGGAAGCTGAAATTTTGTGCACGGGTGCCCCTATTACTTCCCTCGAGGCCTGCGAAGTGGGTAGCCCGTGCGCCTCCCTAACGGACGGCACCCACCCCTAAGTGCGCGAGGGTGAAAAAACGACGAAAACGTGCCGTAAAACCAACTTTACCTTATCGCAGAGGCCAAAGTTTTCGTGTACGAGGTCAAATGAGTCTCCTCTTTCTAACGATGCAAGCGGAATTCAATTTGAACCAACCCACCCCCGCTGCACTCACCCCCACCCCCTCGAGGGGGTGGATTTCGAGGATGTTTGAATTTCGCGCAAAACAGCGTCGGAGCGTCCCCCGTACCAAGCAAACATGTTTTTTCGACGTTCCAACACACCCCGGGTGAATCATCCCCGGAAAGTCCAACCCCCTTTCGAACACCGGCCGTCCGGGGCCTTTCGGTTTGAGCAAAATGCAACAAAACTCCAGGGGGCATTCCTCCAGTGTCCAAGAAGACGTCTCAGCGAAGAAACGCGGTGCCGGACGACTGCAACCCCTGCGGTAGGGGTGTTCACCCCCTTGCACCCTGCACGCCCCTGGAGGGGTTGGAAGTCCTCTGACGAGCGGGCTGGTCGAACAAGACATGGGGGAAGCGATCCTGAAGTTTTCAAGACGATCCCACCAACCGTTCGTCTTCCAGAGCGAAAAAAGCGTCATTTCCAGTAAAAACCACCCCTCACTTCACCCCCTTCCAGCGACTCACTGAGTGGGGGTAGCAGTCCCAACCAACGCCACATCACTCGGCCCAGACCTCATTTCAAAGGCCTCCAAGTTTCAGACTGATGCGACAAAGCATGGGACCGTGGGAGCGACGCAACGATGTGCCTGCACTCGGCGGTAACGGACGTGCTGGCCCGTCGGGTCCATGCGCCGTGCAGGTAGGCAAGCCAACTCACCTGGTGCCAGGTTGATTAAAAGCCATTTGGAAGCCTGATAATGGCTCGCGCGTCACCACGCTTCAGCACTGTGGGCAGTGGGCAGGGCATGTCTGCCAACATGCCACAGTTGCTAACCATCAAAATCAGGCTTCCAAATGGCTTTAATCAACCTGGCGCCAGGTGAGTTGGCTTGCCTACCTGCACGGCGCATGGACCCGACGGGCCAGCACGTCCGTTACCGCCGAGTGCAGGCACATCGTTGCGTCGCTCCCACGGTCCCATGCTTTGTCGCATCAGTCTGAAACTTGGAGGCCTTTGAAATGAGGTCTGGGCCGAGTGATGTGACGTTGGTTGGGACTGCTACCCCCACTCAGTGAGTCGCTGGAAGGGGGTGAAGTGAGGGGTGGTTTTTACTGGAAATGACGCTTTTTTCGCTCTGGAAGACGAACGGTTGGTGGGATCGTCTTGAAAACTTCAGGATCGCTTCCCCCATGTCTTGTTCGACCAGCCCGCTCGTCGGAGGGCTTCCAACCCCTCCAGGGGCGTGCAGGGGTGCAAGGGGGTGAACACCCCGGCCGCAGGGGTTGCAGTCGTCCCGCAGCGCGTTTCTTCGCTGAGACGTCTTCTTGGACACTGGAGGAATGCCCCCTGGAGTTTTTGTTGCATTTTGATCAAACCGAAAGGCCCCGGACGGCCGGTGTTCGAAAGGGGGTTGGACTTTCCGGGGGATGATTCACCGGGGGTGGTTGGAACGTCGAAAAAACATGTTTGCTTGGTACGGGGGACGCTCCGACGCTGTTTTGCGCGAAATTCAAACATCCTCGAAATCCACCCCCTCGAGGGGGTGGGGGTGAGTGCAGCGGGGGGTGGGTTGGTTCAAATTGAATTCCGCTTGCATCGTTGGAAAGAGGAGACTCATTTGACTTCGTACACGAAAACTTTGGCCTCTGCGATAAGGTAAAGTTGGTTTTTGGGGCACGTTTTCATCGTTTTTTTTCACCCTCGCGCACTTAGGGGTGGGTGCCGTCCGTTATGGGAGGCGCACGGGCTACGCACTTCGCAGGCCTCGAGGGAAGTAGTAGAGGCACCCTTGTACAAAATTTCAGCTTCCTAGCTCGAAAGACTTAGAAAATATTACGATGACAAAAGCGTTCCGCTAATTTTTGTCGGGAGTGTACATAGAGTACTCCGAGGAAGCTCTGGCCCGGAAGAAGAAGAACAAAAACGGAAGTAAGAAATTGCAGTTTCTATGAGAAATATACGCTGCGCATGAGGGTCCGCAGCGTATATTTCTCATAGAAACTGCAATTTCTTACTTCCGTTTTTGTTCTTCTTCTTCCGGGCCAGAGCTTCTTTGGAGTACTCTTTTGGCAGGGGGTGGTCACTGGCGATCCTTCTTAGCGTCCTTGCGGTAGTACATATGCCCCTTGTATAGCAACTTTTTCCCCCCTCGCCGAGATACAATAACTTCGGCCCGGTCCGGTCGTCCATTGCCGCCATGGCCCACCGCGCCCCAGCAAACAACAATCAGCACAGTGGCACAGTAGTCAGAAGTGCCAACTGTATGTCAATTCCACTGGAGGGAAAAATTCCCAATGGGAAATATGGATCGGCAAAATGGGGTATGGGAAATATGGTTTGGGAAAATACTGCAGTGGCAAAACGGTCTTTGGGAATGAAATTTTGGGAATTCAGAATTGGGAAAAATGGGCCCCAACAGTTTCGTGCAGGAGCTTTTCTGTTGTACTTGTTCTTGAAGAAGCAGTTCTCTGACGCATGGTTAGTTCTATGGCAGTACTGGCATTTCTCTGTCTGGTTGCAGTTTCTTGCGAGGTGCCCAGTCTTCTTACAATTATAGCAAGTAACACTGCCCCTAGATCCCACAGCATGGAAAGCTACTACATTCTCTTCTTTGTTGGCTAGTATTTTACTTTCTTCTAGCTGAAGTCTTGAGCAAAGATTATCTATAGTTTTACTTTCAGCTAGGACACTGTCCCAAGCTGTGGCAAAATTACTATATTGCTTTGGCAGCATG